CGATTCGAGGATTTGCTGCAGGTTCTCCGATGGTCTGTGTCTTTTTTGGAACCACCACTACCTTGGAGTGAGGCCCATGGCATGGGCATCCTCGTCCTGCAATCCTTGTGGAATGGCTGCCCTGGAATCTTGTCCTCTTGCTGCCGTTCTTGGTCTTTTGCGGCCGACCGGTTGTCAGTGAGACCAAGCTGATACAGCTCTGGCCCTTGATCATGTTCTGTCTAGCACCTATAGGATGGAAAGCAAGGTCCAAAACAAGGGCTTTCTGCATCATTGGTGGCAGCGCTTGTTCTGTTGCATGTGAGATTGCTGATATCCACAGATTTGAATTTTTATTGCAGTAAGGGCACTACAAACTCCTTTTTTGATGATGTCCAATGGCTGCAAGCTAGCATAGCCAACACTAGCATGTCTAGTACTAGCTAGGCGCACTGGCTGGTGATTTGGATTCTGTGTGCTGGGAACCGCCCGCTTACCAATCGGGATATAGTTTATGGTACAAAAGAGAGGGTTTGCCTTCCTGAAAAGACGGTCCAAAAATGGATCCCAAATCGTGAAGCAGGCAGTCTGCGGGCGGGCCTTCGTTGCATGCCCATGTGGAACACACAATTCCCGATTCCAATCACTGCAAGCATTCTTGGAAGAAATTACGTCACGGATCGGGATCGTGCTGGTTGGCGTTTGGTACCTGCACGCATGTCGATTCTAGCACTACCTAAAAATGCGCTTCTTAGATGTGGTGGGATCTCGTCCAATGGGACTTCCAACTGCTCATCCTTTTAAAAGGATGTCGGGTGGTAATGGAGGAGGAGTCCTCGAATTCTTGGTGGTTTGACGTCGCGGCATGATTTGTTGTGTTGTTGTTGTTGCTGTTGCTGTCAAACGACCCAACTAACTTCAAGAACTTTGAGAGCTAAAAATCTAGCTCTCCAAGAAAGAATTTGAAGAGCAGGGATACACGTAGAAATCCTACCACGGCAGGCCTTGCTGGCTTAGGTGACCTCTGAATTCAGAATTCTGCCTCCAATTTTTTGGCGGCCCAAAGGTGCCACAATGGTCTCAACCCGAAGTGGAAAGAAGGAAACAAAGGCTGATCCTGGTGGAGGGTCTGTTGCATCGTCTACTGTTGGCAGTAGACCAGGGTTACCCGCATTTGTAATCAAGTCTCTTGCAACTGACATTCAACGAGAGTACGGAGGAATTCACAAGCTAAAGGGCCCAAAGTGCTGCAAAAGCTTCTCGACAAGCACAACTCGGACGACAAAGCTTTGTACGGAGAAGTTGGCTCGGCTCTTCGTACCAAGATTAGCAACAAGTTAAACAAGTGGGAATTGTTGTCACAGAATCAGTGGTGGAGCAGAGTATTGCTGAAGCTAGAAATTCCAGAAATGCCCACCAAGAAAGAGAAAGAACAGGTTGAGAAAATCGATTCTTCGATCAGCTCAAAGGAAGACGAAGATGAAGATGACGAACTGCCTGTTCCAGCAGTGATCGAGACGCCCACCAAACTATCCAAGAAGAAGCAGGAAACGCAGGAAACTCCGAAGTCAACACCAACAAAGCAGCAAGGGATCTCCAAGATGAAGAAATCAACCCCAACAAAAGATCTTGCTGCCAGTCTCGACAATTTGAACTTGGCAACAGCAACTCTAGCATTCGTACGTGCTGAGAAATGGGATAATGTTTGTTCTTGGCTGTTCTCCTCACTGCATTTTGCTTGTTTCTTAGTTCCAATCCAAGTCGATATTGAAAATCTGGCAAATAATGGGCCACTTCAGGTCTACGAGCTCAGCCAGATGCTTGAGGGTGTGGGCAACCACAAAGGATATCTCTATTATGATACGGTATTGTTCTTCTATTGGATCTCCGCTGGATTTTGGACGATCTGACGACCTTTTGGTATTCGGCGCGTATTACGAGCAGCAATGAGATATTGGTCAAACTCCCCGCCTGGGATTACAATCAGCGGTTCCATCGAGATGCATTTGAAGCATCGACAACGAACGCTGCCAAGGGACTTGCGGGTGCATTGGATCATAGTTATGACAAGCTCAAGAAGAAGCAACCAAAGGGAGGGCCGGCTATCAAGCAGTTCCAATACTATCGACTTGTGTTTCCGGATGATCACGAGTTCGATGCCAAGACTATTTTTGCCGATTCTGGAGAGGACAATTGGCTTCAGCTTTTGATTGGAACTGTGAAGATTGACCATCAACTTGCAAAGGTGAAGGACTGAGAAGACAATTACGCAGTCTTTTTGGTTGTATGCGATCATCTCACCAGTCGCAAAAAGGGAAAGACGGAGGAGAATGCGCAATGAAATCCCGTCGCTGCAGCGCGCTCATGCTCTGTTGGATATTGTCGGAGAAAGTGCATGGACATGAGAAAATAATCCAGCCGAATTGATCCAGAATCTACGCGGCATTCTTCATTCTCAGATCGTTAGAGATCTTCAAAGATGGCGCACAGCACGGTTGGAGATGCTCCATATCGCGACAAGAACCTTTGGTTGATTCCTTGCAACGGTCGACAGTCTTCTTGGAATAATCGGCAAACAGCAACCCCCTCTCTAGCATCTCGCTAGGAGTGAGAACCACAAGCTGCCCTATGTCGTTCTCATCGTCGTAGTCGTCTTCGATGTCGGCCATGGTCTCCTTTTGATTGTTGCTGTTGAGTGGCTGTTATTGGTTTCTGGCTTGTCGTTGGTTTCGTGATCTTGTCTTAAATCTACCAGTCTTGTCACCCAATTTTGTCTAGTGAGAATTATAGGACAAGATGTCGTGTCCTAATCGAGAATTAGAACAAAACGAGATCTTAATTCCAAACCATCTTGTCTAGGCACGACTGCCCATTCCACAACGTTCCTGTAGCTAGCTAATAGGGGGATCTGCTTCTACACTGAAACCTTTCTGCCGAGGTTACACAGCTCCGCTGGCTTATATGTCAATATATATAGTACTGTCACAAATGAGCAGAATCATCCAGTAATTCGGTTCAGGGTTCAGTTTGGTTCCCCTCAGTTAGGTTTGCCTCACTCAGCGGCAGCAGGTAACCCTCATCACTCAGCAGTAGCAGCTGACCGTCTACATAGACAAGTCTTTCTCCCTCCAGTGTCTGTGATGTTGTATTGTCAGAACAGATACACAAGTCACATCCACAAAGCTGGCTGCTGCAGTCAAAATAAAGGTGGTTGGCAGAACACAAGCTCTCGGGGATAATGCCAGAAAGATAGTTTCCATGCAACCAGATTTGACCACGAGGTGCAGGGAAAGAGACATTGCCAAGCTCCAAAGGCACTGTTCCAGTCAAATTATTGTCATCTAGCCAAAGCTGATGTAAACCAGTAAGCAGTCCAAGCTCTGTAGGAATGCTTCCTGTCAGGTCATTATTATTCAAGAGCAACACTAACACTTGCTCGTACATTCCGATTTCAGTTGGGATTGTGCCGGACAAAGCATTCGAATTAAGCCACAAAACAAGCATCTCTGTTAGAAGCCCAAGCTCTGTTGGGATCTAGAGGGAAAAGCAGAGGAAGAGAAGCATACATGGACTTCTTGTAAGCAGAAGAATAAGTTCTTTGGACAGGGTTGACACAAAAATATGCTTACAGTCCCAGTAAAGGAGTTGTCCGACAGAAACAATGTGTCTATGGATGTCATGCTGTCAAGCCATTTAGGGATTGTCCCACTAAAACCCGAGTTATCCAGGTACAAAAGTATCATGTCTGTAAGAGCTGCAAGCTCATTGGGGATCTACCAGAGTTTGCTGGTGAGGTCTCCAGATCGCAAACACTGAGAATCAATCAATGCCATTGTGAAAACTTACAGCACCACTCAGAATCAGGCTATTCAGATACAAGGACTCTAACCCGGTTAATCGGCCAATTTCTGTGGGAAGTGTCCCCGTGAAAAGGTTGGTGTCAAGTGCCAGACCCCCCAAAGCTGTTAGCAATCCCAGTTCTGTTGGTACCTGCAACATCAGAAACGACAAGTGAGAAACAACAAACATTCACAGAGACAACACATTTGTACCTACTGGTCCTGTCAGCTGATTTTCAGGAAGAGCAACGGATTGCATTGTAAGGGAAAACAGGGATGATGGAAGCTGCAAAAGACAGCAATTCAAGGTGAAGAAATCACAAGGTGAGATATTGTAGCTTCAGCTCTGCCCAGATATTCCATCCATGGGCAATCACTTACAGTTCCCGTCAAAGAATTCCAGCCGAAGTACATGATTCCAAGTTTTGACAAACTTCCAAGTGCTTCAGGAATGGAACCATAAAGGCTGCAAAAATTCATGGAAATATACTCCAAACTGGGAAGGCCAGAGAGCTCTTCTGGGATGGTGCTGGTAAGGTTCAATTCATCCAACCCCAAGCTCCGAAGTTCCGTAAGCAAGTAGAGCTCTGGTGGAATCCCTGATCCCACCAGGCCATTGAATTGCAGCCACAAGTGCCTCATGATTCCATCTCCCTGGTACAAAATACCACCCTCTAGATATCCCGCTGGATCTTGCTCACAGGGACTGATGTGATCCAGTGGGAGCAGTTGGTCTGCCCCAAAAAAGAAATAAAAATCCTCCAAACCTGAATACCAAAGGCACTCATGAACACTGTGGTTGAGCCAATTGTCACTATAGGACCATTGATCGTCGCTGTTGGCAAAATAGAAGCTTGCAAGGACGAAACGTTGTACAACTCTCTGCTCCGTAAGGTTGCGTAGGATGTCAATCTCTTCCGTGAGCCATTCAAATGCCATCGACTGGGGCGATTCTGGATCCTCCAAAATTGCAGAGACTGTTGATTCAGGGAAAAGAGACAGCCAGTACTCTGAATATGATGATGGTCCCTGAGATGGGTTGCTGCTGGGCATCTCACTAGGTGAGGTTGTTGGGACAAGATCTGCATTCTCCTCTTGACGTCGAGTAATCAGGATGGCTACCAAAATAATAGTGATGGCCAACAAGACAATGACTCCCAAGAAGACCTTGGTTTTGAATTGCTTCATTTTTTCTTCTCTGTTGTTGTTGATTTCGTCCGGACTGTAATCTTGAGCCTGGGGCAGATCCTGAGTGGTCGTTTCGTCTGCCACTACCAAATTGGCCACAGCCAAGCCACTATTGGAATCAACATGATTGAACGTAGGTGGTTGAGCAATCTCTGCTTCGGCAACTGTCTCTGCCACTTCTCTGCTTTCCTGGAACAATGTTTCTTCGTGGCTTGCTTCAGGTGAAGGGACGGATGGTTCGTCATGGCCTGGCTGTAGCGCTGAAGGAGGAGGCTCTGAATTTTCCGTGGTAAGGCTACCTTCAGGCGGAAGCAAAGGCGTAATTCCACGATTGTCATTATGTTGTACCGTAACAAGGCGAACTTCATCCGTGTTCGCAGTTCTGTTTGTCTCTCCTCTTGGATATTTGATAGTTCTTTTTGCAGCTTGTAGGAGAGTAGAATTTCCGGTGCTAGGTTTGCTGGTCCACCCTTGGTTGCTGTTGTTGGTAGAATCAGCCAGTGCAGGTTCCGCAGTGCCAGACCTATCTCCTTGATTGTTGGAGGCTCTGCTTTTACCAGCTGGCCCACTTTTTGGATAGGCAATGTGTCGCTTTTCGTGTGCCAAGAGGGCACTGGGCTCATCAGTTTTGGCAGTATCGTCCATGGTTTGCTCAGTGAAGATGGCGGCTGGTGGCACTTGTGTCTGACTAACTGATCCATGTCTTTTGGGATATACAATGTATTGCTTTTCTTCTGCCAACATGGGACTCACAGTTGTGACTTTACGAGCTGCAGTGGCACTAGTGGGCAACGGATGATCGGCCTCAGCAAGTCCTTGAATACCGGTGGCTCTGTTCTTACTAGAAGGCCCACTTTTTGGATAGGCAATGTGTTGCTTTTCATGCACCAAGAGGGCACTGGGCTCATCAGTTTTGGCAGTATTGGCCATCATCTGGTTCTCTTTGTGGATCGGCTGCTGCGCATTGGTGTCTACAGCTGGGACTTCTGTTGTTGGAGCAGCTGTTCCACGGTTTTTGGGATAAGCAATGTTTCGTTTTTCGGCTGCCAACATGGGACTTACAGTGGTGACTTTATGAGCAGTAGAAGTACCAGGGGTGATAGTAGCTGTGGGCAACAGAGGATCCTGTTGGCTTTTTTTCTTCTTTGCTGCTGGATAGGCAATAGACCGCTTGGCTTCATCCAAAAGGGATTGTTCCTCCTTTTCATTCTCCTGCTGTTCTTCTTCCATTGGTTCACGCTGTCCCTCCTGGTTTTCCTCTAGATCTTGGTTGTTGTCAGAGTCCAGGTTCTTGCATGGTTTTCCAGTCTCCTCTTCTGTAGAAGTGGGTATCTTGTAATCCGCCTCAGCAACGTCACTAGTGCTACTTGAAGTATGGATGTTGGGAGCCTTGCCGGCGACATCGGATTCTTGCGATGTCACTTCCATTATTGTTGAGGTTGATTAGAATGGAGATGTTCTGTCGCCGTTCCCGACCCTCCGTATACTGGAAGCAGTGCGGAATAAGTCGTTGTGTGCTTGGCTGTGGAGATGTACCCTGTTGATCAAGGTTGTGAAGCTCAGGATTATCCAGGGTCAAGGAGGACGGATGGTGTCGACCGTACTAATATGATAAATTTGTCTATAGTTGCAATTGTGCATGCAACACTCAATCTTTTGAAGTTTGCGTTTTTTTTTTAAAGAAGTTCACGGGAAAGCGAGAAGACCCGCCCCTGAACCCACCAAACCCAGTCCTGGATTTTGACTGGCTCTTCATAAAGCTTGACACCTGCTCCATGGCTTCAACAGATACTTAAAGACTTCAGTAAATAACGAATTAACGTTGCTTCTATTAGTTCTACAGCACACCGGTACGGCAGCTAGTACAGAATAGTGAAAAGTACCGGTATATTTGCAACATGTACCAGTACTAAAATGTTCGACGTTGATCCACCGATCCTCGAGCACATTTAAACATGCTCTATCCGTAAATTTTGTGGGGGTTTTCGGTTTAGGGTAGCGGCACGGTGGATAGTCGTACTCAGAGTAGCCTTAAAATAGAATTCTATTTATCTGCTCTATCCGTAAATCCTTACTATGCATAGCCAGTATGAATCAGTATGATAGTAATGAGTAGTCTACTACAGTAGACCAGCTAGACCGTAATGGCCGTCTACATGTAGCCGGACCGCAATTGATGTCAGGACCTGCAATCTGCAATTGCAATATTTAGGTCTTGGAATGATGATCTTCAAGTCACTTTTAGTACCACTCTTTATGCATTCACACGGTTATGATGGCTAGCTCGACTATCACTCGACGGAGCCACCGAGGGCCTGCACACTAATACCCCAGACACGGAAAGGAGGCGACATGGTAGGGCCCAGAACTGACCAGAAGATTCAACTATTGTATATATTCTATTGATAGACCAGGCTCAAGCTGGCCAAGTGGTGCGACTTTGGTGAAGTTTTCTGAAGATGAATGAGGTCACGAATTTCGTTTCCCATCATAGAGCTTGATGAGGCAGACTACCGGTAGTAGACTACTAGTAGCTAGCTCGTAGAATTCGCCTGTCACTTTGAAAGCTTTAAAACTATAGATAACGAGATAGCCTAAATCGATTCATCCATTTTTTCGATTTGATTTGATTCGATTCGATTTTCGATTGATTCGATTCAGGTGGATTAATAAATCAAGGAAGCTTGCCGTGGAAAAAGTGAATGATCTGGCTGGTGTTCCAGTGGTGTACGTACACCATGACTTCAAAGCTCCGCGAGTTCATTGTACATGTATGTAGTGCTCCTTAACGTATGTATTTTTCCTCCATTGTGGTACTAGCTAGTACAGTCGGCCGTAGGCTAGGGAAATCCAAGCAAGCTATTCTATTCCGTGTAGGCCATTCTAGTACATGTCTCCTAAACTGGTCGCTCATCGCCTCATGTTACCGTGTGTACCACCGTCATGCACCTATAATATGCATAATCAGAGCAGCCAACCACAACCAGGCAAAGGCTGTAAATCTATCTAGCTATCTAGCTAGTCAAAGGATCAAGAAGCCCTGGTCCATGCGGGACGGTAGACTATGGCATAGGTCTCAGATGGAACGACGCATCTTTCGAACTGCGTTCCCTACTATTCCTGAAGTTCGTGCGTGACCCTTGTTGGAAATAAATAGCTGGGGGCCTTTTCGGGGGGCTACCTGGTAAAGGGCAAGTTTTGGCACGATCACGCAGCGTGCACGGATGCAAGGAAAACTTAATGTCCGTCATCCACGCAGCGGTCATTTTTCTTCCCCATTTATTTTCATTGTTTCCAAGCACTTATCTAGTATACTAGCTCTCGATCGATCAGGCTCACTCACTTGAGAATGCAATGGATGCCAATGCCAATAGCAACGGCTGTCACTTACTTATCCTCACATCTATCTATAATAAAATGAATGAGGCAAGTGTATGCAGTGAGGACATTGACAACAGTGGCGTGCTACTAGAGAATGAAGAGCTTGAGAAGATTGTGGCTTTTCGGCAAAGTCTGGATCCCCCAGAAACTGCTGCTATAGCTAATACTACCGTCAGCAATGCTCCCACAATGGCAACGGCGGCACACCCGTTCATGACGGAAATTGTGAGGAACATTGAACGATGGCCCAGCAGCAACGGCAGAAACAACACTATGAATACCGTTACCGTTACACAAGCACAAGCACAAGAACCAGGGGCTTACTCTGGTACTCCAGGGGCAGAGCTACAGAGAAACAGGGAACCACGATTCAGTCTGCTGGGTGTCCCTGCATCAACAGAAGCAGCAGCAGCACATGTACTTCAGGAGCCATCATCACTGCAGATGCTACCTCCACCGGAAACGAGGCCAAGTGATCACAGTGGGCTCGTCACAGCAAGCTTGGTAGAAGAGAATTCCGAAATGTTGGCCAGATTGCCCCAAGCACAAGCTCAAAATCTCGATTTGGAAGCTGCCAATCAACAAACCAATCAAACAAGGAAATTCAGAGCAAGAGTTTTGGTGGGAGTCAGTTTTATGATTATTGGCGTCATTTTTATTATCATTATCATCATTTTGATGGCAGTTTTGATCCCAAAACAAGGATCCTCCAGGAACCAAGATAGTACTACGAATATCAATGGATCTACAACAACACCGGTACTACACAACACCAATAATGCTTCCCTATCCTCCACTCCAACATCTCTGGAAGACTCTTATTTGTCATTGCTCCCAGAGGACACTGTGCAAATCATACTGCAAGACCCACACTCACCTCAAGCACAAGCCTTTGAATGGCTATTGCTAGATCTAGAAAACAACGACGACGATGATGATATCATGGATATTCGACTAGTAGCAGCAGATCGAATCAAACAGCGATTTGCCTTGGCAACAATCTACTATGCCACACAAGGAGAGTCATGGACACACAATGACAACTGGCTCAACTACAGCATCCATGAATGTGAATGGTTCACACGACAAGAATTCGCATTGATTGCTACATTTTCTGCCGTACTCCCCGGATATATTTCCGAGTTTCAGCCACCAAATGCAACCTGTGATGCAGATACGGGACTTTATCAGCATCTCTGGCTAGATCAAAATAATCTTGTGGGTTCACTGCCAGAAGAGCTGTACATGCTGACTACTCTCAAGACACTCTCGGCTGGTTTCAATAAACTCCAGGGTTCCATTTCCACACTTATTGGGAAAATGACCACACTGGAAGGACTGGTGTTTGCCTTTTCGGAGAATGGAGGAATCATTCCATCAGAAATTGGACTCTTGACCAAAATGACATCCTTGGGACTCCATAGCACCAATCATCACGGGAATATCCCCAAAGAGCTCTGGCAACTCACCAACTTGAATTCTGTGTTTATTAACTTCAACACTGGTCTACATGGAAGGATTCCAACAGAGATTGGTTTGTTTTCACAACTACGGTGGATCAGTTTTGGTGGCTGCAATCTTACTGGCACCCTCCCAACAGAGCTTGGATTGGTAACGAATCTCGAATGGATTACCCTGGAAGACAATAAACTCTCTGGAACCATCATCACTGAGGCAGGACTCCTGCCAGAAATGCGGATGTTTTCCTTGTTCAACAATTCACTGGATGGTACCTTGCCTACAGAGCTGGGGCTTTTGACACAGACTACCATACTCACGGTTCGGGACAACCTTCTAACTGGTCCAGTTCCCAATGAGCTTGGTCTCTTGACAAATCTTCGCATTTCGTTGGTATTGCGAGGCAATCAATTCTCAGGCCAAATTCCATCAGAGCTTGGGCTTCTATCCAATTTGAGAGAGATATCGCTGGAGAACAACAATTTCTCGGGTCAAATCCCAAGCCAGCTTGGTCAGTTGTCTCAAGCACTGCACTCTCTCAAGTTGGGAGGGAATCCAATGCTCACTGGGACCATTCCACCAACAATTTGCACTATTAATGCTACCTGCATCCCCAACAGCATGGACCCATGTGAGGAACCATTTGGATTGACATTTGACTGTTCCAGCATTCTTTGTGGTTGTGAGTGCCTTTGTGGAGCAGTGGCACAAAAGCATGATGAAAACAATTAATTGATTGCTGCTTCCACACGGAGATGCAACCGTGAAATTCACTACGGGCAACAGCTGCAGGTTTGAATGCGAACGGCACGTGGTGGTCAGAGGATGATTGCACCTGTAACAATCGAATCGGTGGAACGATTAATAAGCCATCGATCCGACGTACTGTGGCAGTGGTTTCGTCAAGTTGCCGCATACCGGTACCGCCCAGTTTGGACTGAGTCCGATGGATCTGTATACGTCTATCATAGATACATCAAGCTTGGTCGAAATGCCAGTCTCCGCGGGCCCCAAGTTGCAGTGCGAATGCAATGCCAGCGTACCACCCCGAACGATGCCAGGTACAGCTGCTACGGTACTTCTCAAAATTATTGTGGCTGCGAGTTGAGTATATATACTAGTATAGCTCCCTTTGAAGCTCTCGGAACGGGGACACGGCTGGCAGCTGGAAGTCGCAAGATGAATCAAATCGGTGGAACGAATCGAATCGAAGGTTCCGAGTCGAGTCGGTTGAATGAACAATCGATTCGATCATTCGATTCCGCGCGTTATTCTCAGTGCTGGTGTCGAGGAGTGGTGCAAAATCCCAATTGGCCTTCAGGAGTACGAACAACAGTGCGTACATACGGGCACGTCGAGCCTGGTCGAAACTCCACCGGCCGCAAGGTACGATCGATGAATGCAATGCCAGCGTCTTACGTGCCCGACTCGACGACTTTTTGCATGGGTGTGTCGTCGAGAGACTTAGGTACGATGAGATGAGGAACCAACCCAAGTATTCGTCGAACGAAATAGGTTAATAAGCTTGGCCTTTCGGAAATAGACCCGCGACATGACACTGGCAAGAAATTCTCAGTAAATCAGTAGCCAAGTTAGATCTTCTAAAGACTACAATGTAAAAAAGGACGGTGTGTGGTCCTCGTTACTATATGACGGAGGTTGCTTTGCCTCTGCCGCTGTGCATGCGCTGTTCTGAGAGGACGAGATCTCGATCGTGGTTAGGGAAACCGTGGTCCACGGAGTGGAGCCTGGATTCTGAGAAGCAATAGAAAGGGAGCGAGTTAACACGCACCAAAGCAAAAACAAAGGTGCGACCTTTTACTTTCTTCCCCCACCCCCAAATATACAAATATAAAGAGGGGTAATTCAGTTCATTTAAAATGTAATGTTGCCCCCAAAGAATCTCGGCCCCCAAAACGCGCGAATTGACATGTGCACTCAACACCTCCGAGATAACAAAAGTCGAGCCGACGCAGCGCAGTGGTCAAACGATCGATTGGAAGAGTGACTGCAGCAAGCGGTGGTGTTGTTGACTATAGCATCCTTGGCGTCTCCGGCAAGACTACTAGACCGTCTCTACACTATAAGAGACACACAAGAGGGAAGAGACAGGCTGGCGTTTACGGCATTCGAATCAGAGCAGCAAGAGTAGAGATCCAAGCCAAGCTAGTCAGGGCCAAAATCTTGCCGTCGCCTCCTTACTCCACCAAGAACCTTGAAAGTACGTGAAATTGACGTGGAAAAGCAAAGCAAACAGAAGCATCAAGCCACGCTGTGAAAAGACGCCACTTGCGCATTTTGGCGTCGTGAGTCACGCACACAGTCCCGTAAGCAGTTTCCCGTTGCTGCAACGAGACCTTCAGGTAAGAGTTGCCCAGGGAAAGTGTCATTGGTCTCGTCATTGCGGACAAAACACTGACCTAAAAGTCAACCAAACTGTACCCTTTGTTCCCCTCATTCCCCCCCTTGACTTTTGCTCTACGTTGGATGGGTCTCTGACTACCATTTGGCTTGCTTTGCTAATACTGATATAACCCAACCTTGACCCGCACAGCTCACCATACCTTGCTTCAGAGAGAGAGCAATCTACTTGAAAAGTAAGTCTGAACACGCCTACATGGCAACACTGTCACTTAGCTGTACCATTTGTACCCACACTACTAACTGGAACCTTTGTCATTCATGCTTATTCTAGCTAGCTAGACATTCAAGCATCTTCAGGAGTATACACTTAACAATGCCCTCCAAAAAGAAGAAACAGCAAGAACCGCCTCCACCAGAGGAAGAGGAGGAAGAAGAAGTAGTACTGGATGATTTGGAACCCTCTCAGTGGAAACGAGAGGGACATCCATGGGTTGATAAAAAACTAAATGTCGCATGCACATGGGCGATTCAACCCTCTCGCAACTTGGCCACTCATGCCAAGCTCACGGGGACCATTACGGGATTTGCACCCACGGAAGATGATCGTCGATTGCCCGCTCTCGGCAGAGTGGCCTTTGAAAATCCCATTGCCAACAATAATAGGAAGGGTGCAACTACAATACTCGCCATGGATTTGACCGGGACCGAAATCAATGACTTGCAACGACAAACAACGACCACAGAAGACAATAATAATAATGCACTGGTCGTGGCCAATCCCGTGCCACAACTCTTGCCCACTATTCAAGAACGATATCAACGACGATTGGAACATCACATGATGGAACACATCCTACCACCTCTCGTGGCGTTGGCGGCATTGGAAGAAGCCACGGTACATCTCGTACGACAACGGATTGCACAAGAAGATGCCGAAATGGCGGCAAGGGCCAACAGCAGCAATAACCACAAGCAGCAGCGCAATGTCAATCCCCATCCACCTCTTTACTATACCAAACCACCCAACACCTACTTGACACAGCCCCAATGGTCCGAGGAGACAACCGCCTCCACCACATCCGCCAACAACAATCACAACAATCACAGTAGCAAGGACCCCATGAAGGAACACTTGATATCCACACCCGCAGCTTGGATGGCACGCATCAAACAGGGATGTCAACTCGCCTACAATGAGTATCTCATACAACAACAGCAAGAACAGCTACAACGACAACAGTTTGACGATGCAAGTGCCGAAGCGGGACGCAGATCCTCTAGTCGGATTGCACGCATTACCACGGAACAGCAACAAGATATTGATCGGAACAAACGTGGCGGCGGCAATACGAATAATAATCAGCAACAGGGAGTCGAAATCTATCTCAAGGGACATCGCATTGCCAAGTTTCTAAGAGAACAGCAAGACCAGAAACTGTGGCAAAACCAACGACAAAGACTGGAAACAGAAGAAGCAGAAGAAAACGGTCAGGAGGAAAAAGACGACGACGACGAAGAAGAAATAGAAGACGAAGATGACGTCGATTTGTTCAATCCATACCTCTATCCAACCTATGGGGATGTCCTCAAAAGCGTACGAAAGCTACGTCTCGATGACATTCAAAATTCCATTCCGTACTGGTGTCAGGAAGACACCAATCGGACTCCTCAGAAGAAACGGCGAAAGGACGACGAGGATGACATGGAAAATGTATTGGAGGTGAACGTGTTGCCTTTGGATACGCTCACGTTGGGGATCCCCCCAGCAGACGAAGAAGAAGAAGCAAAGAAGGAAGCCGATGACAAAATGGAACTGGAGGAGGACAAACCCGACATCAAGGCGGAACAGCCTGCCACTGTCAAAACAGAACAGGAGAATGACAAGAAACCCGCGGCCTCCTCCAGCGATGGAAGCGCCAACAAGCCAGAGGAAGCAACGTCGTCGAAAAAGCCAGATGAAGCAGCCTCCCTGTCCAAAGCTCCCGACACTGCTGCTTCGTCTTCCGAGCCTGCAGCTAAGGATGGAAAAGACAACGACAAGGATCCGCCGCAAAAAGTGACATCCAGCAACAAAGCCACTGAGCAAGTGCCGGCGGCTGCAAAATCTGATACTGCTGCCGCTAGCAATGGAGACACGGCAGCTGCAAAGGAAGAGAACACCCCCGAGGGAACCACCAAAGACGATTTGGCTACTGACGATGACGGTAAAGACTCCAAACCACCCGCCAAAAAGAAGAAGAATGGAGGCAAAGAAGACGGCGATGCGAAAGACGAGGAAGAAGACGGTGATGATGATGACGAAGACGAAGAAACAGATGCCCCCACTGAAAATCTAATCGTCCAGTGGCAGGTCCCCGAAACGATCGAAAAGGCTCCCGCCAGAAAGCAAATCTACAAACACCTGCAGACCCAGGATCACTACACATTTGGGCGCTACACTTTCTTGCTTCGAAGAAAGGATGAAGAGAACGAACGCCTTCGCGGTGGGTTGGAACAACAACAAGGGCCCAATGAAGAAGAGCTACAGCGGCAGGCGGAAGAACAAGCCAGACGAACAGCTGCCAACAGAGCATTTAACAATCGAAAAGCGTGGGACAAATGGCGTTTCGAAGGGATTCATGGGGGTCACACCGTTTGGCCAAGCTGGCAGGATTCGGTCCAGAAGTGGCAATCGGAAAGGAATGCCGAGCAGCAGCAGGAATCCTCAACCAACGAGCAGGCCGTGACTACTGATCAAGTCGACGCGGACCATGCGAAAGCTCTGGAATTGGCAAAGAAGGAACAAGACGAAGAAGCGGCCATCGCAGCTGCCGCTGGGGGTGGGCGCCGAACGCGCAGAAAGGGAGCTTCGTCTGGAGGAACTGTCTTCTATGGACAATCGTCCCAGTTGACTGCGAAGCAGCTGGTCGAGCTTATTCTGCGACTCTGTTCGGAGAAATCAGCACCCAACATTTTGTACTTACAGTCGATCGTTGCCGAGGATGGAACGCAAGACCCAGTGCGTCGTCTTCGAGCTGCTTTAGGGAAGCTAGTCTGGAGACGAAACCAGCTTGCTCGTCTTTCACCCAGTACGGAGTGGACAGACAAGAAACTTCTGGACACAGTTTGGGAAAAGCCATTGCTCACGATGGCTCCCGCAGAACCAACAGCTGCAGCCGCTGGAACGGGTGATGTTGCCATGCAAGATGCAGCTGACGATGGAGAAGCCAAACGGCGGCCAACAACCGAAGCGGAAGCGCTTGTTGAGTACCTTCGAAACCTTCACAATACAGAACTGCTACTCCGCAAGATTGTGCTCGAGCACTTGACCGAGATACCCATACCAATTGTTGCCACAGCCGCAGACGAAAAGAAGAACTCCAACGAGGGTTACGATAGTGCAGATTTTGAGGACCAGTCCGAAATCGAATGGCTCACCGAAGGCCACGAGCTCATTGGAAAGCACCTATTCCGCCCTCGACAAATGGATAACACCAACGACCTCAGCACGTGCGAGTGGTTCACCATCAGGGCATACGTCCCGTCCGTTGGTGATACCTCCGCGCAGAATGTACCCGGTTCCGCCGTAACTGAGTCTCCGCTGGTTGAAAGGCGAGCGCGGTTCCGAGCAGCACCTTTTTTAGAGGCAGACGCTGGAGAAGTCGAGTTTGCGGATGAAGAGTATCTGGTTCTCACGGAGGCCCAGGCCCATGCAGGAATCAAAGCGGCTGGCTTGGAGCAAGTCAACATCGACAGGGAAGAAGAGGAGGAACAAGTCAGTATCATAGACCACCCCTTCGCTGGTAGTGGTTTGAGTGCCCGGATCACGCTCTACCCAGTTCGAGGCAAGAAGTCAGCAGAACCAATGGAATACACCGTCGTTGGCCACGACAGCATTCTTGGCGCCGAAGGCAAGGAAACCGTCCATCGAATCCTTATCTTACCGTACGCGACCAGCAGTCAACCAACGCCTTCGGCTCTATGGGCATCGCTGGATGTATCCAACGATACGGAGATTCGCTGTCATTTGGAGACGGATCCCAACAAAACCTACCGTGTCCAGCAATCCGATTTCCACCCTGATTCTCAAGCATTCGCAGCTTGCCGGGATGTCGTCAATTTTCTCGAGAAGCACCAAAAGGCCGGTCCGTTTCTTGAGCCAGTGGATCCGGTTGCGCTCGGCATTCCTGATTACACCAAAGTAATCGCCAACCCCATGGACATTTCTACCCTGTCTTCAAAACTGGAAAATGGCCAATACTCCAACGTCCCACCGAAGCAATCAGCCGGGAGAAGCCCCGTCGCCAGAATGCTCAACGGAACTTTTCGGGACGACGTTGAGCTCATCTTTGACAATGCTATGCTCTTCAACCCTCCCAAAGACTTTATCCACCAAGACGCTTCCACACTCAAAAAGGCCGTTTGTCGAAAGATGGACTCGATGTCTCAAAGTTTTGATGCCAAGTTTCGACGATCCAGTCGGAATCAAGAGAAGCAGAGCATCTACATGGACGAGGACTCTGACGTGGACATGTACGAGTACGAAAGCGACAACGATGACGACGACGATTATCACGGTGGCGGATCCAGACGTAAGCGGAAACGATCGAAAGGGCAGGCACGACCAAAGGCGGACGACAACTCGACACGCGCCATGGAACATGCGGTTCGGCTTCAAAAGACATTAAGCGACACGCTTGGGCTCCGCGGCCCGTTTGCCAACTTTCGTGTCGAGAACGACTCTTCCAGTTTTTCATTCCCAGCCAATTGGAGTTGCCGTCGTCGGAAACCTGGTGTCGTCAACCTGGAGGATGACACGGAAGAAGAAGCTGTTCCAGAAGAAACGAGTAGTGCTGTTGCATCGTCAGAGCATGAGAAAGAGTTGATTCAACTAGCACAGCTGCAACGTACCTTGGACGAGACAGAAAGCACAGGCGTCCGACGGTCGACTCGTGCCAACATCCAAGAGGATACGAGCAGCAGCCGCAAGAAGAAAGTGAAAGCCTCCGACACGGAGTACTTTATGTTGAATCAGTTTGAGCAGAACCACATCAATGCAACCGACGAGCTCAAGCGAATGCCCGCTCCCTGTAGTCGGCACGATATTGAGTACATTTGCGAGCGATTGCACGACACGTACTATGCCAAGCTCTACATGGAGTTGGGTGCGTCTTTGGAGCAATCTACTGCGGCGGACTCTGGCGACGGCAAGGCCAAGAGTGACAAATCAGACATGCCTGCTTTTGGCAGTTTTGCGGATGGATCCTTCCCTCCATTCCTTGGTCGAATGGTCCCAGTCTCGCTCGCGAAGCACTCCAAGTTCGCATGGGAGATCCGTGGCTCGTTTCAGATCGTGGCGCTACGTTGGATTATCCGAGGTTTGATTGCATCGGGGCACTTGGGGCAACTGGAGCCAATGGAGCAAGAGTCGTTGTCATCGGGGGTGATCATGACTAACCACGTGTACTACACCGACAACAGCCTCGAGCCTTTTGCTGTGTTGGACTCGAAGGAATTGGCAAGGCGACGACGAGCCAACAACGAAGAAGCAGAGTCAAGTGAAGACGAAGTTGAACTGAGCGCGTACGAGAAGCTCCGCGCAGAGAGAGTCGCTCGCAATGCTGAGCGACTAAAGGCACTCGGGCTTGCTTGATTCCGACGGCTCGCAGGGTTGGAGCTGCATGTTGTGTACCGGCACGGTACAGTCGCAATCGTAGTTGTAAAGTCTAGTGGCTCCGAAGATGTTTGCTCGCTGCCAAAGCACGTGTATCCATGAACCGCGACCAGAGTCCAAGCTGGTACTGGGACCGGGTTCCGACGAGATTAAGCTGGGCATCTAATCGGCTACTTCACGTACCGCCGTCGCATTGCCCCAGATCCAGTGTCTGCCGTGGTTTCCCATGGGCACGCCACCGGCCACGTCTTGCACTGGCACTATCTGGACATCCTTGGATTTATCAAAGCAGGCAGGCAGTCAATCATCGCACGTACGGTATGAAAGCTTTGCTATTACCGGTATCTATGATAGCTGGATGCTCGAGCTGGATGCATGATAGCATGAGTGGTCTATTAGCTAGCTGGCTACCACAGTACAGGGAATGACGGATAACCAACAGCTACTTAGTTCCAGAAACAATTGTTGTTAATGCTTTCTTTCTCATGGAGGATTGCTTTCCGGATTCAAGGTGCGCGATTGCTAAACAAAGAAGGCAAGGCCTTTAATTGCGTGAACTTCCCGAACACATCTGCGATCACAAATGACCATGGCATGGCCATGCAAGCGTCCAATTTTAAACATTGACGCATCACGCGCAATGGCTATGCGGTACACGTGTACCACCGGTACCAAGCACTGCCGTATATATTCAACGATCGGGAAGGTATCAACACCGTTGCATACCCATATCGATAGTAGATAGCTAGTTTGGAGTCTACATAAGGATGTCTGATTCATCGTATTTGACAGCCGAAGAAGATGAGATAATCGTTGAACCTGAGCAGCGGCTGCCCCGGCTAAGTACGTTGGTCTGTCCAGAAGATGAGATTGTCGTCATGCCGCCCATCGAGCAGTCTTTGCCACTTCAGCCAGAACCAAAGCTACCCATAGTGATAACCACGCCTGCTTCTACCTACCAGTCTGATTCTATGAAAACTGAGGTGAGACAGAACAATTCATCAGACAATGAGCTTCTCGACAAACAGGACCACCGAGAACACCCATCACCAACGATGTCTACTCAACACCCAAAACAAGCCGAAACAGCAGCATCACAAATAGAAGGAGAAAAAAACCAAAAAACGCTACTAGCCGAGGCAAAACGAGCCTTAGCTTATCCCAAAGGACGGCCCAAAGAATCTGCTGCAACCAAAGACGGCACCCAGGTAGATGCAGCCAATGCTACCCCCGTAATCAATGGTACCCCAGTTGTACATGGTACCCCTGCTTCCTCTTTGGCTATTGTGGAGGACAACATCAAACAAAAAAATGTCAATTTCAATGGAACCAATCAGGCAAAAAACGCTCCTGCTGATGCCACTCCAAAAGCTGCCAGGGCTACCGATGCCCTGGCACCGACAGCCAATGCTACCCCTGTTGTACATGGTACACCCGCTACCGCTGCTGCCATTGCTGAGGATGCCATCCAAAAGAGAAAGGCTGATTCTAATGGAAGAAATGCAGCAAAAAATGTTGCTCCCGCTGCAAATTCTGCAGCTACTGCCGCTACTGATGCCCCACTGCGGATGCTACTCCTGTAGTGCAGGGCACCCCAGCCACAGCTGCTGCCATTTCAGAGGACACCAACAACAAACGAAATCCACATTCCCAGAGAGCAAACCCAGAATATGTCAAAAAAAAGACTCCCGGAGAAGACTCGGTTATCCTGCAAGGAGCCAAACACTGGTCTCCTATCCAAGAGACCATGACAGCAAAAGACAAGAACAGCTGCAGCGCTCAGAAAACAGCTGGGAATGCTCTGGCACAACAATGAATAATCAATCACAAACAGAAGACATGACAAATGGTGGATCCACAAACATCTCGAACAACAATTCAAGATTGAGGAAGGATTTATCCAACAGTGCTGCCACCAATTCCAGAATTTTGCAACATGAAAAAAACCAAATTCCCTTGCCATCCATTGTCAAACAAAGGCAAGCAAGCAATGCAATGGCAGAAAATGACAGTGACAATACTCGAGGTGCCACACAAGTATCAAACTATTATAATTCAGCAGAGCTCACACCAGGAGCATGGTCTGCTGACCAAGATGGATTCATGACGCAACAAGCACCAGCACCCCTAAGATATTGTTCTTTTGTTCGACGAAGCACTGAACTTGCCAAAACTGAAGATCTGAATGATAGTAACCAGGCTGCCGACAGAAGAATGAGCTCGACCAGCCAAGGCAGAAGAAGGAGCTCGATCAGTCACGACAAAGTGCTATCAGAAAAAAATAAGAGGCGTTCCACATTCCTCCCCGCGGCCAATGCAATTGCAGAGAACCAAGTTACTTCCTTCTATGCCTCACTACCAAAGGCAGAAGAACTTGATCCAGTAATGGGAGACAGAAACCAGGAAGAACACAAACAGCAAAGGCGCAGAAAGACGCACTTCATTCTGGGGACGATGGTGCTCTTTGTTATGGTAGCAATCGTGGCCATAGTGTTGGGAATCGTGCTCTCCAAACAGGGCAAGGAAAATGACACCAAAGAACCACCAACATCTGCCACTCCTACTGACATGCCTTCTCAGAATCCAACATCCCATGATGACTACATCATGTCTCTCTTGCCAGAGCACTCCATTCTAGGTATCCAGCAAAATCCCGAGTCGCCTCAGTCCAAAGCCTGGCAGTGGCTCATAGAACAAGACAGAGACTCTCTACAAATATTCTCAGATGACAGAATCCTCCAAAAATATGCCCTTGCCACACTGTACTTTGCCACGGAAGGGGAATCATGGACCCATAATGACAACTGGCTCAACCGCAGTATCCATGAATGTGAATGGTACACAAAGCAAGAATTTGGCATGACATCGTTTTTAAGTGGTTTGTACCCTGGTGCCTTCCAGGAGGTCCAACAAACAGCAACAATTTGTGACCCAGACACTGGCCTCTACCACCACCTCTGGTTGGATCAGAATAATCTTGTGGGGGCGCTGCCAGATGAGCTGTTTCTGCTGACGTCCCTCTCGTCTCTGTCGGCAAGTTTCAACAAGGAACTGAAGGGCCCAATTCCCAGTCAAATTGGACAGTTGACTCAACTGGAGGGGCTGGGGATTAGTTTCATCAGCCGTGGTGGATCCATACCATCTGAAATTGATGTGTTGACGAAACTGAATTCGTTGGCACTTTTTGGCAATAACCATGATGGGACCATGCCAACCGAATTGTGGCAGCTATCCAATCTGCAGACGTTTTCTCTTATCCGCAATCAGAATTTGAAAGGCATGATCTCAACAGAGATTGGAAATTTTCAATTTCTCCATCACTTCAACTTGGGTGAATGTGACATGTCTGGTAAGCGAATGCCGCAGACATTTTCCCTGTTGTTCTTGTGCACATGCCCACAAAACTGGAGTCTTACGTTTTTGCTCTCTTTTCGAATCTCTCAGGAACGATCCCTTCTGAAATAGGCCAAGCAACAGCCCTAGAATGGATTACGTTGCACGCAAACGGACTCTCTGGAAACGTTTCTAGTGAATTGGGACGGCTCGCCAGGCTGCGGATACTGGGATTGTTTGAGAATGCTCTGGAGGGTGCATTGCCCACTGAGTTGGGACTTTTGACATCATCACTGGTGATGTCGTTTCGTTACAATCAGCTCACTGACCATGTTCCCAGTGAACTTGGTCTCCTTTCCAATCTCACGTTTTCCCTGGTTCTTGCCAACAACAGCCTCTCGGGACAGATTCCATCAGAGGTTGGCCTCCTCTCAAATTTGGGTGAGATTTCACTGGAAAACAACTATTTCTCTGGTCCAGTTCCAGATCAGCTTGGGAAGCTCTTGCTACAATCAGAAGAAGGACAGCCAGCTCTCCATACATTGAACATCAAAGGAAACCCTTTCCTAACTGGCACGGTACCATCAGATCTCTGCAACATTAACGGAATCTGCCAGCCAAACAACTTGGACCCATGTGAGGAGCCCTATGGTTTGCTGTTTGACTGTTCGCTTACTTTTTGTGGCTGCAGTTGCTCTTGCTTTGCAATTCATTTACCCTAAGACGCACAATCCTGCCAGCAGACCAACAGAAATGTTCATAGTTGGATGGATGCAGAGCTTCTACACGCTGCGCCAGTAACAATGGGCTAATTAAGATCCGCTCCCAAAGCCTACCTTACTCGTAGCTACATGAGGCATGCACCGTTGCAATCGCTCCAACACAGCGTGCTTTGACCATGCATCGATCTTGTGAGGTGTCTTCTGGTTGTCGTAGCTGTTAGTTTAGATTAATGCTTTCGGTCTCCAGAGGGGACTACGTATTTAGCAACCGCTATTGAATTGTTCCAAGACAAGACGCGATTAAAATGAGCGTTGCGAAGTTGCGAAGCCATGCATGGTCTCTAGCTAGCTAGGGGGGGATTAGAGCAGGGAAATTATCTACGGAAGCCAGCCAGGGCCAGGTCTCTTGATGAACGTCTCGAACCTTTAACACGAGGTTCCGCAGAATAGCCAAATCAATGAATGTCGAGTGGACACCGAAACGTTTCATCAACTCAACACAAGTAGTGATCGATCCAAACCATGCATCGCCACCACACCAACCGCCCCTTAGGACGTTGGCATCTTCAACTTGCCTTAGAGTCTCAGCAGTATGGGCGGGCATATCAGGCTTCCCGGGTAGACACGTCTTCTCTCGTATCTGTTCTTCTTTGTCCGCGTACAAATGTTTCTTGAAGTTCTGTCGCTCTGCGTTCATCACAATGTCTTGATTGACAAGGCAACCGGTGATGCACTCGACACCATTGCGAAGCATGGTGCCTAATGGAACAGGTTTCCTTGGTTCATATGTAAGATTGGGAAGTCCACCGGTCTTGGTGCTCTTGGGCCTCCATCCGATCATGCTCTCGTCCAGCATAAGCAGGAAAACAGAGAAGAGTTCCTCCCTTTTCTTGTTGAAACCACTGACTGCTGGTACAATGACATCCCAAGGAATGTCTCGCTTGTCCAGATACCAATACTTCTCATCACCAAAGCAGACTCCAATCGCACAACAGAACGCTTTCCAATAGTTCAAGGGCATGTATTGTCCGAAGTCTGGGTACTCCTTCCGTCCCGACGATGGTCCTCTCTTCCATAGGTCCGAACCATTCTCTGTTTCAAGACATGAGGCAATAAGCAAGAGGAAACATTGCTTGACCATCCAATCAGGGTCCTTATCTCCAAAGTATCCTGTGTCATCGTGAAACTGGATGCGATCAGACTTGGCCGTCTGGTACATTGGGCTTCTAATCGAAGAGTGAAACTTGTCAATCTTTGCAGCCATTCCTATAAGGTCCGGCATGAAGTGATCGAAAAAGACTTTGGGAAAGTCTGTATCACAATCCTTCTCGGAGATATCTAATGTCTTCTTGAAGTGTACGTCTTCTGGGTAAAGAAGGGGATCTTCGGCCTCTGTGACATGCACACCATCAGGAAGAATCGTCCATGGAACCACGCTGTCTTCTTCCGCCGAAGACCAGTGCATGTCAAACGTCTTGGCTACTGAGATCACATCATCTTCCATAGACACAAATGCATCATTGCACACCTGAAAAGGAGAGAGCTTCTTGCTTTTCTTTACACGGATTTCAGCCAACTTCTCAGGATCGTCGCTTGGACGATCAAACGTCACTTCTTCCGAGCCCTTGGCCATCGCGGTGAGGTTCTTTCTCCTAATGAAAACTTCTTTCTGGTCAGCGGGCAAGCAATCAAACACAACATTATACCCTTGGCTAGAGTTACCAGATTTGATTGTTCCAAAGCAATTGTGGTTGTTGTTGAATTCGCGAATGGTAGCCTTTTGCTCTTCTGTGGAAAGCAAATGAAAGAGCTGACCCCTACTGGTCTTGCATCTTCCACCAACATGAATGCGAGCGGCTCCCTGCTTTGCTTTGGTGTGTCGCGATGTGTTCAGGGGAGTGGGTCTCTTTGTTCCGGATGCAGTCGCTGTTTCAGAGGCTGGTTCTTCAGCGGCAACAAGGGGAGGTGTGGCTCCATTCGCCAAAGATGCAAGGACAGCAGCAGTCTCATGGCGACTTGCCGAATCAATGGGAGATGCTCCGGTTGTTTCAGGTGGCGTGCGCACAAGATCCCCAGCCAGCAATCCACCAACTGGAGTGGGAGATGGTCGTGGCACAACAGCAGGAGCGGCGTCAGGAGCGTAGAGCTCATTGCCATCTTCATCTTGCATCATCTTGGCAACAGGCGGAAGCTTCGTGGTCTATGCAGAGCAATGCATTATCCAGTGGCGGACCTGAGTTAACGGCGGCCATGCACATCTTTCTTTGATACAGAAACAAGATGCATTGCTGTTGTTCCATTTCCATTTCTGGATCGGTGGCTGTTGGCCACCACAACGTACGGCACAAGCGAGGCAATTCTGCTCACATTTTCGATCCTTTTCTGGACAACAGAAAGATAGGATATCGCAACAACCAATACACCGAATGCACTCAAACATAGCGGCGACAGCATCTTCGAACTATAAGGAACATGCTTGTTCATGGTTGTAATGCTACATCTATTGTTCTAATGAAGTTAGACCATCTGCTAGTTAGCTACTCGAGGATATCACATCGGATATCACATGCCATATCTCGTGATATCTCTACCCCTAACCACTAGCTAGGGGGGGATTAGAGCAGGGAAATTATCTACGGAAGCCAGCCAGGGCCAGGTCTCTTGATGAACGTCTCGAACCTTTAACACGAGGTCCCGCAGAATAGCCAAATCAACTCCATGCATCAATCGACAGAAGATCGGAACCATCGTCCCCATTTACCCCCAGAGCTCTATTAATTTAAAACCTACCATGCAATCAGCTAATGAGGAAAGGAAAGAGGAAATTGTCATGGAAGATGAGATACTTGTTGATCCTGAGCAGAGGCTTCCCGGGCGAAGTGGTTTGGTCTCTCCAGACGACGAAATCGTAATTATGCCGCCCATCGAGCAGTCTGTGCCACTTCAGCCAGAGCCAATGCTACCAGTACCAGCAGACCCAAAGCAAGCATTAAAACTAGAGGGAGAAAAAACTGATGAGAGCTTGCTAGCCGAATCCAAAAGAGCCTTAGCTTATCCTAAGGGACGTACCACGCGTGGCCGAACCAAGCCAGGGGTAACTTCTGCCCCGGTATCCTCCTCTGCTACCACCCCCACGACCACGACTGCCACTTCTCTGGGAGCACTTGAAGGAGAGGATGACACACTACAGAATGCCAAGAGGAAAATTCAGTATCCTAAAGTAAGAAACAACAGTCGAAGCCCCAAGCACAGTAGGGACAACAGTCCAGTACCCACATCCCACGAAAACAGTCCCAAGAGACACCCACCAAGCAGCCCGGATAGTGATGCATTTTTGAAACGAGAGGCAAAAAGGCAAATTGCCTACAGAAATGATCCCTGCAGGGCTCCTGGGAATCCTTGTGGTTCTGAAACATCATCCACGAACGAAAACCAGCCCCAAGAGGCTAGTGCATTCCAGAATGCCAAGAGACAGATTGCTTATCCCAGAGGACGAAACAACAGCCGAAGCCCTAAGCACAGTGGGGACAACAGTCCAGTACCTGAGGTAGCAAGACTATCTCCTGTCCCGGACCATAGATCCCGCGAAAACAGTCCCAACAGACATCCACCACCAAGTGGCCCTGATAATGATGCCTCCTTGAAACGAAAGGCAAAGAGGCAACTTGCATACAGAAATGATCCTTGCAGGGCTCCTGGGAATCCTTGTGGTTCAGAAACATCATCCACGAACGAAAACCGTCCACTTCCTCTTGGCCCCACTGTCACAGTCAACAGCAGGACCGATCAGGCATCAACGGCTACAAATAATGACGTGCAGCAAAGAACGGTTGATGCCACGGAGGATACTTCAATCGCAATACTGGGCGCAGTGGCAATTTCAGGATCCAGCCACGATGCCCTTGGACAATCTGCGAAGTTCCGAACTCTCGTCCGATGGTTTTCAATCCGCGCTCTCTTCGGATACCACCGGGCTAGCTGTGGCCGCTCCCGTGGAAGAACATCTGGATCTACAGACTGCGGTGCCCCAAGGAGACACAACAAACGAACAGGCCAAAAAGAACCACCAATCCAAAACTCGTACTCTGATAGCAGTGGGATTCGTGCTTGTCATTGTTATGGTTGCGATCATCCTGGCCGTGGTACTGTCGACTACAAAGAGAGAACAACAACCAGTTGAAGCATCCGAGATGCCATCCACCGGTCCTACTCCGGCTCCAACGTCCTTTAAAGAGTCGTTTTTGGACATATTCCCCGCAGACACGGTGCAATCCATACAGCAGGATCCGTCATCGCCACAATCACAAGCTTTTCAATGGCTTGTGGATTACATGGACTTGCTTCAAACCCTGCCACAAAATCGAATCATTCAAAAATTTGTTTTGGCCACAATCTACTATGCCACCAATGGCGACTCGTGGACCGCAAATGACAACTGGCTCAATCACAGTGTCCATGAGTGCAACTGGTTCACGCGATCCGAATTCGCCCAGATTCCTTTATTTTCGTCATTATTCCCTGGCTACCTTTCCGAGTTTCAGGCACCAAATTCAACCTGCGACCAAGGTGGTCTTTACCAACATCTCTGGTTGGACCAGAACAACCTGCTGGGGGCACTGCCAGAAGAGCTCTTTCTTTTGACATCCCTCAAAACTTTCTCAGCCGGTTCCAACAACAGGCTGGGTGGTACAATTTCTACTCTTATTGGAAAGATGACAGAACTGGAGGATCTGTCCTTGCTTGTTACACAAATTGGTGGATCCATCCCATCAGAAGTTGGCCTCTTGACACAATTGAGCTCCTTTGCACTCAGGGGCAACCCAGAAGGTACCATTCCGGCAGAGTTATGGACACTAACCAATCTACGAACTTTGGGTTTGGGTAACAATGGCAATTTGAGAGGGAGCATTCCCACAAGGATTGGAACGATGAGTCTGCTAAGGTGGATCAGCTTGGGCGGCAATGAAATCTCAGGTATGCAAGTCAAGTTTTGGTTGTTCTTGTTGGCATCTTGTTCTGGCGTTTACTGATTTGTTGGGCTTCAAATTGTGAATCTCATCCCTCCATCTATATCGGAAGGCACGATCCCTTCCGAACTTGGTCTGCTCCATAATGTTGAATGGTTAGACATACAGGAAAATCTTCTCACTGGTGCAATTCCAAGAGAATTGGGCAAGCTCTCTAGTCTCAAGCTGTTTCCCGTGTTTGAGAACTTCTTGGACGGATCATTGCCGACAGAGCTGGGGCTCTTGACATCGTTAACAGTAATGTCATTGCGAGACAACGAGTTCTCAGGCCCATTGCCGAGTCAATTTGGGGAGCTCACAAGTCTTCACATTTCCTTGGTCCTACGCAACAATCAATTCTCAGGCTGGATTCCATCTGAATTGGGGCTGCTCACAAAAGTGGGTGAAATATCGCTGGAGAACAACAAATTCACTGGCCAAATCCCCAGACAGCTTGGACAGCTCCAATCTGTGGACCCCCCAGCCCTGCATACACTGAACTTGAAAGGAAATCCATTGCTAACTGGGACTATTTCCCCAGCAATTTGCAACATAAATGCAACCTGCACCCCCAACGGCTTCGACGAGTGCCAAGAACCATTTGGGCTTTCATTTGACTGTTCAAGCATTCTTTGTGGTTGTGATTGCTCTTGTTTCAAGATAATATTACCTTAATGTGCTATTGTAGACCTCCCGATGAAAGAGTGCCGAGGTCACGAGCAGTATGCTTCCGTAGCTCTGATGTCGTACTCTCTCAACTCTGACACAGAAGAGTGGTGTCTTACGTGGATGCAGAAGCTGATAGTTTCTGCTTCCCCACTTGCATGCCACATTCAAAGTTTCAGTGCCAACAACAGCCGCCTCCTGGGGTGAACACCTTCGGGAGTACGGTACACTGTACCTCTCTGTCATTCTCATTCCTGGCTGCATGGCTGATTAGTGTTTTCCTGGCTTGATTGCTGTCGTGATCCTTTATGTCCGAGGAACGGCTCTACCGTAGATAGCTCCACCGGTTCTAGCGAGCTACAGCCAACGGACTTCTTCGGCGTCAGCTGCCGGCATTGGGGTTCATCCTCGATCTCGGGTTTTTCCGGTGGTCGCTTTTTCTCGTGGTCGCCCAAAAGCTCAGGCTGACAAAGTCAATTGCCACCCCATGGGGGCAGGAAGGCAGGAGTGAGGGGTGGAGCTCTCGTTCTGTGCCGCTTGGTATCCTGTGCCGCTTGGTGTCCTTCGGTTGGAACTGTTTGTTCTGGTTGCCACTATGTTATGCCATGCCGAGCCAAGGAAGCCTTACTAAAAGTTCAAATAATCTACTGGACTACTAGCTAGTAGGATAATTCTAGCTAGCTATAGCATGCGAGCAACCAAGAGATTCTCGAGGCTAGAGCTCAACACGTGTTAACTAACTTTGTTTTAACAGCAAAAGCCAGCAGAGATGTCAGTCATGTTTCCGTTCTTTGGTGGGTCACGCTGCCACCGTGTAAATTTTAATGCCTGCAAGAAAAGGGACATCACCGTAGTCTAACTATAGCATAACTTGGAACAGGTTCTATACAACTTAAAAAAATAGGTAAAGATTGCTGCACTTTTAATCATCTCGATGCTCTGTTCTATGGAAAGCCAAATCCCCTTTCCATGTCTTCTAGCTTGGATTTGCTATCCCGGTAGACAGAAGAACCCAATTTGCTCGCGTTTGCTGGGGAGGTCACGTTCGTGCTGTTGTTCAGCAACATCCCATTGACGGAAAGCTCTGTCTCTTCGAATTCATCTAGAGTTCCTAACAAAATAATGCCCGGAAAGCTGAAAGAAGCGTCAAGAGAAGAGGGCATATACTGAAAGTGAGTCCATGCAATCTGAACACGCCATCGCTTTCGCAGCAACTGAATCAAATCGTAAGGACAACATGCATTGCTTACATATCCAGATATTCGGGGTTGTCGCCGTGTTCGGCATCGTACAGGTCGGTCGCATCAATGCCACACATGGCCCAGATCTATAGAAGAAAGGAAAACGATGAGGAGTCTACTATGAGTCAACTTGTTTACGTATCCAAGCACGTCCTGCATCCGTTCCATGGGTGGCTGACTTACATCTTCTGCTCCCTTGGGTGACGGATGCAATGCAGCGTAGTCACTAACATCGTAGACCGACCCGTACACGGCAGTCCAACTTAACAGAACGAGAAAGGGCGGCGAGATGTCAGATTCCGTATACATGAGTACATGGCAGCCATCCATCATGCTTTGGCAGCAGAATCTGAGTCACGTTCGGATGCGACAACAAGAGAAGCACTCACCAGTCGTTATTGGCAGCGTGGAGGGATACTTCACTAAGCAAAATCTGACCGTTGACATTGCGAGAAAGAACCAACAGCACAAAGAAAATGACGTGTGCTGCCGCCATGGTGGAAACGTTGAAAGAGATTTGACGTGTCATTGCTTGAGCAAGTAAGTAAGTGTGCAAGGTGCTTCCCGGTCGGTTTCGGTAGGGGAACTAGACGTACTGTAACGTTGAGTTAGATTTGTTGTTTGACTGCGAGTTGTGTGTTGTTGTGTGCATGATGTGGGTCGAGGAAGAGGCTCGTGGTGCTCCCCAACTTTGCCAATGCGATCTCACGATCCTGTTCTTCGATCGAGACGGGCTTCGCGAAGCGCTCTGGATCCAAATTCGATGGCTAGAGATGTCACCAGTCCCATTTGGCGCCACCTCCAGCCAGAGCTCTTCCAGTGCTGTAGCCCAATCGCAACGCAACTCGACTCTTCATACCGGTAGCGGATCGAGAGCGATGCAGTAAGATTCGATTCAGTTGGGCCCCTGCTAGCATCTATTAGTATTATATGTATACCTGGATTGGAACTTTTTTAAATAGAAGACGGTAGACAGCACCGATGTTTTGCTGGATGCGGTACAGCCGTAGGAAGCAAGAGTTGTCTCATTTTGGCACGACTATTACTGGTACCTGGTCCCAGGCCATGAAGCACATGGACCAAGGAGAGATCGTGTATCTTTGGGCAAGGGGCCAACTAGCCACGTAGCCAGCGGTACTGGTATTCAATCTTTTGGTTCCGAACTCCTCCTGATTGCTAGCTTGCAGAAGCAGCAGGAACACAAGAGGCTCGAAGAAGGCACATCATATAGCTGCATGAGCAAGGGAAATGTTCAACCAAACAGAAACAAAGGAGGGAACCACAGAGTAAAGGCTTTGACCACGCACTTGTGAGACTATAGTTAGTTGACCACTTGTGGGCCAAAAGCTGGGAGAGCCGTTTGAGAACAGTCAGGGAGCCAGGCATATATATGATGGTAAGCCTCCCACCCATTCGTGTTGAAACAATACTCGCTCGGTTGAACTTCGTTTCATGCATGCTACTGGCTATACGTACCGGCACAATTATCCACGGAGAACGAACAAAGTCATGGGCGAGTTGCATGATGAGCCAGGTACATCGAGTCCAGTCACTCTTCATTTTTCTGGTTCGAGCATGGATTGAATTCATCATTCGATTCATCATCCATTCGATTCGATTCATCAGTCCGGTTCATGAAGTAAGCAACGGCAATTGTGTGCAATGCAAGAAGCCTCTGTTGAGCCGATCTGGTTTTGGACTTTTCTTTGCTTCCAGTAAGCCTGGCCCTCGCTGGCTCCCGTAGATAACCTCCCTGCTCTAACCACCCTACCGGTACCGTATCTGATGCCTGGTGGTTGACGACGCAAGGAGACACTGTTGCCCCGCCACGATGACATCGATATCGGTTGACGCAAGCTTGAAAACAAGGTTTTTATTTATGTTTGCTGCCGGTGCATATACTCTGCTACATCGTACCGAACGAGAGCTGTGGCATTACGAGACCCTTTGGCTTCAAGGTCTACTGGTACCAACAATTTAAAAGTCATCAAGAAGATCTACGATGCGCAGGTACCGTAGCTCTCGCTCGGCAAGCACAAAGCAATCGCATTGGTATTAGTACCAGTAGTGACATCCAACAACCAGATAGTCTAGATAGAATAAGACGATGCATCGCCACGAAGTCATGGGCTGGCTGAGCTACGGTACCTGGTAGTACATGTAGACAGCGGTAGCACAAGATTGACTCGACTCAATTGATTGGTGGGCTGAGCAACCATGAACGCACCAATTGCCCAGATGGGCAGGGACGGAATGATTCCATTGAATCGAATCGAATCGAATCTATGCATTCTGGAAACCTGAGAAAACACCCAGGACGCCTCAACCACCTCGGTCCACGAGGTTCCTTAAGCAATTCCTAAGTACCCAAATGGCTCCTAAGTACTCGCTTTACACTCCGCGTCGCGCCGGGTGATTATCCGTGACCAGATGTTCCAGTGAAACTTCAACTTCAACATCTATACCGGTGACAACCCAGCAACCGAAAGACTCCAAGGAAGTAAGTCTCACAACCTAGGCGCCACCATTCCAACGACGCTCGACACTCGATTTCCAACCATGGATGAGGAGGATCCTCAAAGCCTCACCCTCACCGTGATCACAGAGTCTGAAGATAGAGCGGCCCTTGAAGTTCGATAAAAAGGCCACAGCTCAACTTTGTCGCTCCCCAGTCCGCCACTGTTCATTGCCTAGTATTGAGTGAGAGAAAAACCCTGTTACGAAGCAGGGATATTCCCTCCGTGCCTCGGTGTATTGGAATACCTCAGGTGTGGGAGACCTCTGTTTTGGGAAGTGTTTTATATTCCACGTTCATGCCTACAAGTATTTTGTTTAAGAGAAAGTTTGTCGGATATGAGCGGCCCCGGATTGGAAGCGCCATGAAAGTCCTTCTTCGAGAGAATTCCGTGGGACCTCCCCTCACTGTCTTCACCACAAGTTGGAGGAACTCCGCAACATTCATGCATCGCTTTACAACGATAGCAACAAGCGAACAGGTGAGCGGTCTGTGAGACCTCGAACCGCCTCCTCGGATGATGATAGGAAAGCCATAGCCAACGCATGTTTCTGGCTTGCGACCGCCCAATCCGCCGAATTCCACGGCCTCAATGGTTTCTTGTACCATCTCCTTGGAAGAGGACGAGAGACCTCGACATTGAAACCAGAGGACATCGGCACTATCGACACCCTCGACAATTTTCCCAGTTACAAATCTCGGGTGTTCTCGTGCCTCTGACAAGAGTCCCATTCGCAAGAGGTTTTATCTCTTTAGCCCGCAGACGTCTAATCCAGTGTCCCGTACTTGTCTCGCTCTTTGTGTTCAACGTAGTGTGCGGTTTCCATGACTCACTGTTTCCCAATTCTTCAAAAGAATCATACGTCATCGACAACAGAGAAGAACAAAGCCGCGTCTCGGCGTTTTGGGAGCAGCTGTTTCGACGATGAGAAGGAGTTCATCTTTTGAAGGACTTATGGAAGAAAAGAACTACACAAGCTACCACGCCAGGAAGGCATCCAACCAGAAATTAGCCGAAACGACATCCGTCAGTGGTCTCGCCCAGGTGTTCCGCACAGGTTGGCAGGCCCGATCAGTCCACACTCTTTTTGATTACGTTTGTGGGACGAAGACCCTTTGATAACCAGGCGGGAAGGCATTAGGCGGGTGACACCCGATGCAATGCGAGATCCAAGGCGGTATCCCCCCACTTGAATCATCCGCAGCAACCAGAGCTAGTGAACGACTTTGTCCAAGCCTTGTTCACTGCGGATGTAGAATCCCAATGGCCCGTTCCCATCAGAAACCTCCTGACAGCCTCATTACTGAGGCACTACGATGATTTTATTTTCATCCTCCTCCAGCACCCAGCAGACGCATACAATGACACCTCCCACCATGTCCTTGTCAACACCATCGAAGAAGCTCTAGGACTTTCCAAAGTACCTAAGAACACGTTCTCCAATTGGTGCAAAGAAGTCAAGGAAGGTTTCGCGGTCGCGAACTTCATGTCTCTCCCAACCGACCTCCTCCCTCCTACCATAAAAGGAACTCATGTAGACTCACGTAGCCTGTTTGAGCACTACAATCAACTATCAGTATCCTACAACAGTCTGTTCGCACAGAAGATGGCACTCCAAGACGATGTCCACCACCTCCGCAATTGATTCCCCTTGACGCGCAGTAATGAGCGCTTGGAAAAGACAGTCGCTCAACAAAGCGAACTCCTCTCTAGGGTGGTCGAGATCCTCGAAATCAAGCATGCAAAGCAACCCCCAAGTCCTCCATCACCCAAAACCAACACCCCCTCTTCTCCTGACAGTGTGAAACCTTGAGAAAGGATATGCAACGATGCAGGAGATGTTTGTTGCTTTCTTCTACCGCCGCTGTATGGAAGGCTACCAACTCGAATTGAAAAGTCCTGAAAAAAAAATACAAAGCTAAGCTGAAGAGCGAACAGAACTCAGTCAAAGGTCAGTACAAGAGACTCAAGAAGGTCGCCAAGACCATGCTCTTCTTCTGTGACAGCTACCCCTCCCCTCCTCCTGAAGATGTTGGAGGTTTCAATTGTTGGCATAAGAAGTTGACGCATACCGCAGAGCAATGCGCCAGTGAGTTAGCCGCTGCCTTGGCTGAAGAAGACACATTAGTCCCCAAACGCATTACACAATCATACCTTCAAAAATCCCCAACTGTCGCCGCTTGGGATAATCCGCATTCCCCCAAGGCAAAACACGCCCCACCTAACACTCCACAGTCAGCGCTAGCTCATTTTGCTTTTAATCCTAATTCTAAATAAATTTTAAGATGGATTCAGTGCCTTGTGCAGCTCTCTCGAGTCTTTCTTTCTTGATAGATTCAGCGTCCTTTGTAGCCTTTGGCCTCTTTCGTTCAACTCCGTCAGGCTTGACTACATTCTCCCAATAGTACCCAGCAGCCTTTAAAGTCTTCTCCCTCCCGTCGAGAAAGACACCATTGTCAATGTATCTGTGACCGTCAATCTTCACGACTTTCATTTCTCTCTTTCTATCTCTATGTATGTGCAGGTCAGAAAACCTCCTCTTTCCCACTCTCCGATAGCACACTTGATCCATGTCCCTTGTCCGTGGAACTGCGCCTAATATTATAAGCAGTTTCCGGACAGGACGGACACTTCCTAGTGTTAAGGTTATGCCCTCCCCTTCTGTCCGTCCTTAACGTTGAGCCTCGCGGCAATTGAGCGCCTACACTCAGCCTCCGCGGCGATTGAGCGCCTACAAACTAGTTCCTTGTTGTTCCTTGTTGTTCCTTGTTGTCCGTTACGACTTCCATTCAGTCATGTGTCCAGTTCAGCATTTCAACCAATCATATCGCATGTGTCCAGTTGTTCGTTTCAATCAGCACTTCAACCAATCATGTTAACTCTTCCATTCAGTCAGTCATGTGTCCAGTTGTTCGCTTCAATCAGCACTTCAACCAAACTCTACCCATTCAGTCAGTCATCGTTTCAACCAACTCCTTCAACCCTGCCAGTCATACATGTTGTCCTTTCATTGTTCGGACAGTTCATAATTCCAGTGAGCGAATATGGGCAAGCGAGATCCCAAGAAACTCTTTCTTTTGACTTATCCTCAATGTGAAGTTGAACCTCAAAGCATCCTCCGTTTCCTTGAAAAAACAGTACCCCTGAAGGAGTACGTGATCGCTCGTGAAAAACACAAAGATGGCAACTATCATATCCATGCCTACATTCGCGTAGACGGTGAAGGGATCTATCTGAAGGACGCACCTACATTATTTCGTTACAAAAGTGAAGGTAATCCAGACCAACATGGCAATGTAGCACCAATAACGACAACCACTCGCTCTATCAACGATGTCATCAAGTATTGCATCAAAGACGATGAAGAACAAAAGAATTACATCAGCAATATTGACGTCGACAAATATGTTGTTACAAAGCGAAAGTCCCCTGACTATGACATGGTAAAGAACTATTCAACAAAGGAAGCCTTCAAGGAAGGCCTGGTGTCGATAGACAAACTGAAAGCATACGACCACGCCAGAAGTGTTGCTGTCGACTCCACACCCCGAGACCCTTCAAAGTGTATAGGCTTATGGCTCTGTGGCCCTCCAGGTACAGGGAAGTCACTGTATGCCCGCATTCGAACAGAAGGTGAAAGACTCTACAATAAGTCTCACAACAAATGGTGGTGTGGATATTCAGGTGAGAAGTATGTCTTGATTGATGACCTAGGTCATCAGTTCAAAGCTTGGGGTCAATTGAAGCAATGGGTGGACGTTTACGAGATTTCTGATGAGATTAAGCACGGTAGAACCTCCCTCTGTTATGAGGAAGTTATCGTCACCTCAAATCATACGCCTCGAGAATTACTAGATTTATTAGACAAGACATCTCCTCCCCATGTCATTGAAATGTTGATTGAGGCAATCGGATCTCGTTTCAAGATAGTGGAGTTCAATTCCGATACTTTCACCTTGTTGACTGGGCTCCCTCTGCAAAAAAAACGTTCTAAAACCCTGAACAAACCCCTTTGCATTTCCAATGCGTCGTTTCCACTTGGCTCAACCATCACCCCGCTCGAAGAGGTTTTGACACCCGCCCCGCGCGAAAACTTGGTTCCTCACTCCCCTGAATAACCAACCCAATCACTGCCTCACATTTTGAAAATGGGTTACTTCAAAATAATCCATGCCTCCGAATTGCGATTCGACGACAATGACACAACTTTGAAAGTACTATGCCAGAAACTATATGACAAACCTTTTAGAACATACATATATCTTCAACCAAACCTTTCTAAGTCTCTGAAATCAGTGAAGGAAAGAATCAAAGTTGAAGACAATACCGCAGTGCGACGGATCAGGCTGAAAGAGTTAGAAAAAGAAACCAAAGGCTTTATCAATCTCAAGGTCAGCTAACAAAAAAATTAATTTAATCAATATCCTTTTTCTCGAAATTCTTTTTGTCAATAGAGTCAACTAAGATCTTGACTACAAACCTAGGGTCTCCAGCAAATGACTTCAATCCGCATCCAACTTGCGGCAATCTCCCTGTAACTGTTAAATTCTTATCGATGTGAACGTATCGACACAGGTTGATCATGTCCCCAAAATAGGAAGGTTTACAACTACTGTATTTTCCAAACATCTTTTTAGCATACACCTGGGTGCAAGGTGAGTTAAGGTTCACATACCCTCTCAGCATCAAACACGGTGTAGTTCTGCTTTCATCCTTGGCAATGCAAGAAAATTGCGCCTTATTCTCGAATAAGCGCTGAAGATATTCCAAGGAGCCAGTACGTTTCTCTTCAGCCCACTCCCTCCCTCGAGGCACATCTGTATTGTCTTTGAAGTTGAAATTGAAGTAAAGGTTGAAAACATATTGCTTAGTTGTATTTGTAAGTCCCATAATAAATTTTAGTTTGAAATCAAAATTTCTTTTTATGAGTAAAAAAATCTCCCAACCCTCAACCATGACAAACAATAATTCCATCGCCGACGGGGTGCCAATGGACTTAGAGCAAATGCACGCCCACCTTCAAAGAAACCTCCTAGGTAGGCCAGTCGCCCTTAGAAAGGAAGGAGATTCAAGCATCAAATGTCCCTACTGTGAAAAGGTGCATGATCATCAAGGATCGGAGGCCGGGCATCATCACGCCCAATGCAGCCAAGAAGATTGGAACAGCATTAGCGTAACGATTGGAGACAAATCCTTCATTCCTGCATACGGATACACCATCTATGAATATAAGGATCAAGGCAATGTTAATGAATTAATCCAACATTAAAGCTACAGTCAACCCACCGAACTAACTTCATCATATTCAAGCCAGCTGCAGGCTGAAGGCGGTAACCGCTCATAGCGAAACACTTCCAATTAACTTCCGGATACTCGGAAGCCCATGTTCCGTGTGACGCACTTCCGACTAACTTCCGGATACTCGGAAGCTCGTGTTTAAATAATAAGATACGTACTTCCTAACGAATGCGAACATACCACACAGCATTCAATCCATGTTTCTAGTTATCCCTGTCCCTAATGAAGTGGACCGGGGTGTGGAATTCATTGTTACCCCACCTCGGTCCTCGGTCCACCCTACTCTTTTCTTTATAGTAAAACGTTTAAAGAGTTAAGGGGGGTGGACAACCCTTAATTTAAGATTCTCCCTAAGAGTTAATTCAAGCCCTCCGACGTCACTGCAGTTGTTTCGAAAAACACCTCACCAGGCTAGGTCGCACTAGGTCGCACCACCCTCCTCGACTTCATCAAACCTAGCCACTTCAATCACCGTCCTTCCACCGCAGCCATCATCCGAGTCGTATATTTTGGACGCAATCAACTTCACCACTTGTTTGTCGTCTTTGTAAACCAGACCGTTCATGCCATCGAGGACAAACTTAATCAAGTTGTCGATGTCTGGAGTAGCCACATAAGCAGAAGATAAGCCTGTCTTAAGCGGGTTCCACCTCACACGGTTTTTGAAGTGGGTGTCAGGTCTCCTCATGAAGAATTTGATCTTAACAACGACGGGTTCCTTAGAATCAAACATCGGAAGCGTGGAGATTCCAGCCTTAATCGTTGCTTTGAAATCAGTCAGTTCTCTACTTCTAGGATTGTAGAACCTTCCATTTTTGCCGAGTCTTGGTCGAAGTTGGGACTTTGGAACGCCCTCTAATTCCAGCCTGTACATCAAGCTGACAACCCCATCGTCGCCGGTAATGTCGACCACCTCCTTCGACATCCTAGTTTTTGTAAGTTGGACTCCGCACCGCAACCAAGCAAATATAATTTATTTATTTATTATCCACAACGACCTAGGCCAGCCTCCTCACTGGTATTAACATACGCGACAAGACTAGAATTGTGAGACGCTTGGTAACTAGACCGTTGAAAATCCTTCCCTTCAGTTAAGTTTGGTTAATTAGGATTAACCCTAACGAAACCCTCAACCACCTCGGTCCATGTCCATCCAACCCGATGTCCTGAGTGGGGAAGACCCACCCGTCTCCATTAGCCAAAACCGTCTTCCGATACTGGAAGGCTCACCGCCAAATCCCCACAAATTTTGGCAACAGCTTCCGTGCTTGAATCGGAACCAGGGCGTGGTACTCACACTGTTTTAGCATGTGAGTATGGGTACTGAGTAGTACTCACAATTCCAAAGTCAAGTGAGTATGGTACTGAGTAATACTCACAATTCCCAGGGTCAAGTGGTACGGGTATCATGTGAGTACAGGTACTTTTGGGTACATAAATACTCACTGAGTACTCATAAATCAATTACTTAGGGAAATTATTTTGTTTTTTCTAGTTCTGGGCTGGGGGCTCATCAATCTTGTTGTAAAGGTCCACCATGGCATCAATATCACTGTCATAATCCTCCTCTTCACATCTGCTGGCAGTTAGCTTGAGGAGAGCCTTGGTCCTATTCTTAGCCCATTCCTTTCTTGCATCATTGAGGCATTGCTTGTAGTTCTGGTGAATGCACTGTTCTTGTAGCAAAGAAGGCGCATTGGAATGTCATGTCAACCTTCTGTCCATTGCTGAGTTTTCCATCAAACCATGTACAAGAACTGAAAACTCTTTCTTGGAAGCCGTTGCTATCTGGCATTGCAAAGATGCGCACAGCATTTCATAAATGATTGGGTGTTGGTTTTGCCAGTTGTCTCCCACCATTCTTGTAAGTCAAAGTAGATTTTCACCACTTCAATGTTGTCCAACCAGCAATGTTCTTCATTGCCAAGTGTAGAGAGAACATCTTTACCGATAGGCTTCCGCTTCTGAGCCCGAAGAGCATCAACAAGTTGAAGTCTTCGCCTAACCATTTGTCGATTGCTTTCTGGATTGGGTCAACTCCTTCTTCACAGGAGTATCCTCGATTCTCCTTCGTTTGGCTTCCCTTGCCAATGCAAGAGGGTCGTTGGTTCGTTGGCTTGGCCTGTGGTTTCTTCGGACTTGCATTTGCAGTCGCTTGTTCGGCTAGGTCGAATTTGTTTCCCCACATCTGCTTGACCCAGATCGTCAATATCGTCGTGGCTCTCTGCCGAACACCTTTGCCCATCAGTTTGTTTGCCGGAGGGTATCCGAACCATCGACAACAGTAGCAAGTGTTTCAAAGTCGTCAAGCATGTTGTGTCTTACCGAAAGGATTACACATCATGGCGAGGAGTTTGTCATCCTGCTTAGAGCTTGAAACACAAGCACCATAGCGTCGCAACTCACTTGGGATTCGCTGGAATAGTTTCTGTGGGATCTTATGGAGTTCGCGACTTTGATTGTCCTCAAACCAATCCTCTCAGTGGTGGAAGGAAGGTAAAGTCCTTCCGCGTCATCTTTGGGTTCATCAAACTGGGGAGAGCCATCAAAATTGGTGGGGTGCCAACTTGCAGTGCCATTCACTTTTCAGTGTCATTGGTAGCTTTGCTTCGGCGAGTCTCTGGCACCCAAACCACCTTGGAGTAACAATAAGAAGCAAACACACGGTATGTCCCATAGGCAGTATAGGAATTGGCACCATAGTGGTCCGACTGGACAAAGCAAACAAGCTTCAACATGGGGAATTCCACCGCAAGGGTTTGTGCCATGACATGGTACTTAGAATCCTCCACCTCCGGACATGTATCGTCAACAATGCAATAGTGGTGAAGGTTCCACCGAGCTGGATAAACGAAGCGCGAAGAGGAATGTTGTTGTTTGTAGCATACCGATGCTGTTTTTCTTGAAATATTGCAAGAGCCTGGCTTTTTCCAGCCTCTCTACTCATTTCATGAACCATAGACCTTGCTCGGAAAGGGTACTATGACTGATTGTGCTGAATGTTGTTGCGGTACTTCCTGGGGAACAGGAGGAGCTGCCATTGGACCTACAGCAACAGCCGCCACGATCGATTGGCAAATGTGTCGTAACGGAATGCACCTCTTTCCTTTGTGATTGCTTGCCACATTGGTAAGTGTTGTCCTCGAAGGTGTTTGCCAGGATTGCCAGTGCCATCGAATCCACCTGATCCACATTTCTTGTAGGTTGGCCGGAATAGACATTTGGAAAGTGACTTGCTGGTATCCTCGAGCATGAACGACACGCCACATATTGCTTCCCGAAAGAATTCCTTGATGGATCTTTTGGTAGGCCGAATCATCCAAAGGTTGGAGGTTTTCCAAGTGTTCGGCGTCGGGAATGTCGACACTGTAGTAACATTGCCAAACGCCAGAACGGCCGGGTGGCTTGCGACTGAGCGTGGAATACTCTTGCTTGCACGTACTGTGCAGTCAAATCAGTTCCATTGCCGCGGCCATGGTATCATCGGCAGCTGCAGCTTCTTCATCTTCTTCTTCTTCTTCGATATCACCTCTCTTCTTGTTCCGGTTCTTCCAATCCATCGGCTCCATTGACAGCTTCCTCAATCGCTCCCTGTGACAAGATGTCATCATCCTCCACATCAGCCATGGTGACAACAGAAGAGACAACAGAACAAAAGAGTGGCTAGCTAGAGTCAACAGTGGCTTCAAAGCTTCAATGAACAAGCTCAAGTGAGAAAATGGGAAATTTATGGGCTGCGAGTTGGCGAAATACTCACTCGTACTCACAAAATACTACAGTACTCACGCACCGAGTACTACCAGTACTCACGGTACTCACTTCGAAGTACTCACCGAATACTCACCGAAGACTCAAAAAGTACTCAGAATCGGAGTCATGTGAGTACGGGTATTGAGTATTACTCACATTTTCGAGGGTCAAGTGAGTATGGGTATTGAGTATACTCAGTACTCAATACCCGTACTCACATCGTGTACCCACAGCGTGTATTTCATGTGAGTCCCACACCCTGATCGGAACCTGCTAAAGTTAGGCGATCCCTTGGCTAGCTAGAGCTAGACTACTGTAGCTACTAATATATATTATTTGCCATAGATGGGGATACGTATACCGGTACCCCGCCTCTTTTGTTGGAAAGGCAGTTTGGGACAGCAACGACCACGTTTCGTCGGGAAAATAACGCCGAACCCCCGCTTCGGGAAGCAAAAGTCGTTCGGAACGCTTTTTGAATCCATCCCAATCCCTAATGGCGTTCCGATCAGAATGCCCAAAAGAGCCTCTTCTTGCACCACGACGTTTTGTGGCTGTTGATGTCACTTGTTTCTAATAAGTCTCTCGGTACCTTTGATATTTCTTTTGTTTTATCTTCCAGCACTTTGACACCCGGTGGCTTGGTTGGTATTTACTGCAGTAAATCCGGGTTACTGGCTCCTTACTGTCCAATTACTGCCATTGTTGGCCCCCTAGTTACTACAGTAAGTAATCCCATGCAGTAAGTAATCTGCCTATGCAACAGGAATATCCAGTAAATGACAGTAAAAGCACAGTAATTAGCCTATATTACTGCAATTACTGTAGTTTACTGCCTTCAATTGGCTCTAAATTACTGTGTATGATTACTGCTACTGAGGAATTACTGCATTACTGCCATTACTGCTCCTTTTACTGACCTCATGGCAGTTAGGAATAAACAGTAAATACCAACCAAGCCCGGTGGGAGTTCTGAGAACAATTAGGCTGTGCCAGCTCGTTGCGAAATTCCGATGGAGGTTCGAATTTCAAATTCTCAATTCTTATGTCTCGCGAATTCTCATGCCAAGCTACAGTCGTACCATGATCATGAAGCTCATCTCTTTTGCTTTGCTAAAGAATTCATCGGCACTTTCTCACCTTTCTAACAACGACAAAAGACAAACAGACAAACAGACATCAAGTATTCAAAGGCAAGATGAAGATGACGAAGACCAGAAGAGTAGTTTGTTCCTCAGTAGCTCTGAGCTGTGTGATTTCGACAGGCCAAGCCTTTAGCTTGACCAACACTAGAGGCAATGCTGCCGTTCCACTCACTCCTGCTAGAGCTAGTGTTAGAGCTACTTCTAGATTTCCTAGTACTAGCGCCCTCCATATGAGCGGCTTTCCCCACACAGAAGAAGACATGGCGATTACTACTAGTACTAAACGCCACAAGAACAATAAGAACAAGAAAGGCGTCGAGTTGTCGGCCGTCGCCATTGGCACATCTATGGAAACAGAACCAGAAGACTCTACAATAGGGAACGAGTTTAACCTCAGTCCCACACAAGACTCAATTCGTGACTGGTTTCTTCCAGTCTTGTCCACGGCGTTCCTCATCACGGCCAACACCGTGGGAGCTTCGTGTCTCGTCTTGCCCGAACTGGCTGCAGGACCTGGATTGCCACTCTTTGGAGGAGTCTCTCTTGTCACCTATGCTATCAACCTAGTCAGTGGACTCATCATGGCCGAAGTTGCCATTCGACAGTATGAAGCCAGTGGACAAGACGGCAGTTCTTCTTTCAAGGACTTTGCCGATGCCTCCTTTCAATCCGAACTCGTGTCCAGCGGTATTGCGTGGGTCAGTATCTTGACCAATGCCGCAATTCTCGCCTTTACGTTTGACAAGGCGGCACAAGTCGGGTCCCATCAATTGGGACTTGGAGATCCTACCACTGTCCTGTTCGGATTTGTGGCTCTCGTGGGAGTCACGCTCTCGTCATTGTCACGCGAGAATCTCTCCAATGTCGCCAGTGTCTGTGTCGCCGGTCTTTTTGCCTCCTTTGCGGCGTTGCTGTTACCCGGACTTGCCGCTCTTCAAGATCCCATGGCCACAATGATGGCACCACCGGTCGTCGATGCGCCGATTGCAGCTGCCGCACAAGCCTTTCCCATTCTCTTACTCAGTTTGGTCTATCAGAATATCGTCCCGTCCGTCGCCAAGATTCTCAACTACGAGCGATCCAAGGTTACCGCCAGTTTGGCACTCGGCAGTTTCATTCCACTCGCCATGTACATGTTACTCAACGGTGGATGGGCAGTCACGGGATTCTCCATGGCTACCATTGCCGGATCGTCCATTGGAACTACCATGTCGGTTGCAGAGGAATTTGATAGTTTCTTTGCCTCGTCGTCCTCTGAAACAAGCCAAGATGACACTGTTGATGATACCTTTTCAATGCCGGCCGTGGCCGCGGCGGTCGCCGTCCCCTTGGCGGTCATTCTCGGTATGGGAGATGGTGTTGACATGACGGCCGCACTGGGATTGGCAGGATCCATTGGAACGCCATTGCTTTATGGGGTCGTACCGGCGGCCATGGCCTACCAGCAACAAGAACAAGACCGATCCTTGCCCGCAGAGGCCAGTTTGGCTGCGCTCGCATTGGCGTCCACCGGAATGGTCGGACAAACGCTCGTCGAACAAGTGTCGGCTATTGTCGCATAACAAACAGGCACAGACACATGTACAAGACACAAATCATTTTTGGAACGATCCCTTTCTGACAGGAACTATAGAACGCTACAAAAAGAGGAGGAAGGGATGGTTCGTAACGTCCGATACTGCAAGAAGAAACAACAACGCTATCATACTGTATCCAATAGGCATAACCAATAGTAACAATAGAATAAACACATGCAATTGCAATGGATTAGCTTGCTTTCTTGCTGGCTACACGTCCTGTCTTCTCCATGTCGCTTGTGCTTGCTTGCTTGCGCAGTGTCTGTTTACGGATAGATCATTGCTGTAGCTAGATAGCCAGCTGTCACGACGATGGTCCAACGAAGCGGAACCTCCGCACCTCCGCACCAGTCTTCGTTTTGGGGAGTTCGTCTGCGGTGGGACAGAGCCTCTCGTTTGCGCAAAGTTGAATGTTACCATGAACTCCACCCATGGCCTTTGTTGGGATGATCATCGCAATCCTACTCGTTCCATCGCATTCTTGGGTTTCTGTCGGGCATCCTTCGTGGACCCTTCCTGATATCCAAGCCTTCCCTGTCCATGATGACATTGCTTGGCCACGATTGAGGAAAGAATGAGGGTCCAACGAGAGAGGAGAATCGCCATAATCACAATAATCACAAATACCCGTACACACAATGTTTCTTGTAAAAGCTTATATGCAAACATGTAGTAGTATAATGATCAACAGACAATCTTCCAGTCATTCGGTTCAGGGTTCAGTTTGGTTCCCCTTAGTTTGGTTTGCCTCACTCAGTACCTGACCATCTTCATTGGCAGTCTCACTCTCCAGTATCAGTGATGTTTCAATGCCAGAACAGTTACACCAGTCACATCCGCAGAGCAGGTTGCTGCAGTCAAAAGTGAGGTTGTTGGCAGAACACAGGCTCTCGGGGATCATACCTGAAAGAAATTGAGGAAGCAGGAACGTGCAGCAAGTGCTTACTGGGTCGAGTGGGAAACTGGAGTGTCTCATGGTACATCTGAGGTTGTCTCATGGTACATCATTCCTTGCACTGCTTGTAAGCCTTCTTCAATGGAGTGAGGATCCGATCCAAAATCATGGTCACCATTCAAGATGATGTTTGTTGTCAACTGGATAGGCACCATGCAAACTCTCAAGAAAGGTGTAGAGAAGCTTTGGGTCATAGTCCCGTGTATCACAAAGGGCTTGGATTCTTGGGCGAAGCTGTTGAATTCCCAATGACATGTCCAATGCTGGACACTGCTGCAGAGTGAATGCATTGACTTCACTGATGATTTTGTGGGATTTTTCAGCAGTCAGAATGGACCATTGTTGAACGAGTTTGATCCAGGTAACCAGACTGTGATCACCGATGTCCTGGATTCCAGACACTGCTTCATGTAGCTCCGGGTCAATGCAGTCCAATAGGTGAGTGCGAAAGCTGTAGTCATTCTCATTGTCCCAGCTGTCATACTTGGCTGCCAGCTTGACTGTTGCTGCCTTCACATAGGTGAGGTTTCTGGAGAACATGTGAGGATGTTCCACAATATCCACCATCTTGCTGGGATCAGTTGGGTGTGGAATGAATTTGCATTGTTGCATTCAAAGTTCATCAGAAACTCCAAAAGGTGCGCCTGCAAGGGCTGGAGGCTAGACCGCTTTGTCCATTTGGGTTCAAACTTTGGAAACTCACTTGCTCTTTTCAAACCTTTGGTTCTATCCAGACTCCTATACTGCCCAGAGTGGACTCTAAGGGTTGGAGATTCCAAGCCGGACCAATCTGCCTTAGGAATACCACCCATGCGAATTGTTTTGGAGCTGCCAACTTCTACTATCTCACCCATGATAGGAGCAGTGATCGGGGTAGATGAGTGTTGATTCACATCTCCCTTCAGCACCTTAGTCACTGATGCGGCAACCAACTCAGCAAGTTTGTAAGCCATTTCACCATTTGGATCATCGCTTGGTGTGCCATCATTGTCAGTTGCTTCTTGAGCTGCTTCATCATCAGTTGATGTGATTCTTGCGAGCTCTTCTTGAGTCCTAGTTAAGTCCTCCTCAAGCTCTCTGATTCTGTCCATGAGATCCGCGTCTCCGGTACCAGTCCGCCCTCCTGCAGGGTCTTCCATGATCAACTCTGATCAGCTCCTGTGGGAGACTTCAACTCCAGTGGGAGTTCCAAAACACAAGTCCAAGGGGACTTCAAACACGGCTCCAAATGGGAGACCTTCGAACACAAGTCCAATGGGACAGTCAAATCAATGCTCCAATGGGAGTCTTCCACAAACTAGCTTCAATTGAACACAGATTTACCTGATGTCTCCTGAAGCTCCTTCCAAACAACACTTGGCAGACACCTCGGGCTCTTGAAGTACCTGACTGGTTGGATGGAGGGATTGTTGTGGCTTGGTAGGTTTATCAGAGGTAAGCGCAATGGTGGTTAGCCTGGTAGGTTGGGCTCAATAACCACTAAAAGGAAATCTGAAATCTGATGAAAAGGTAATTTGTCTTTTGTTGTTGTTTATTATTTATTGTTGTGCCAATTTCCTGAAATTGTGAGCTTGGAAATGAAGGACGTGTTGTGTGATTTCTGAAACTTGGACCTTGCAAGTCTTTGGGGTGAAACCTGGCATTCTCCTTCTATTTGGGAAGACGGTAGTGTTGTCACAGGATCCTCAGTCATTTGGGGATTCCATCAGTAGATATGACAGTCACTTTGGGGTGGCAGTCGCAAAGAACAATGGTGTCAAAGAACATTGGTGTCAAGGAACAAAGGTGTCAGAGAACATGTTCCATATGTTCCATGTGGAATCATGATCACTGTCACGCCGTTCTGTGTGGAACAATGATCACTGTCACGCTCAGACATTCTTCATGTCCCTTTGCCAAAGTCTGTGTCCACTGAGACAGCCTC